TTGCGCGTCTGCTATGGCTTCTGGTGAATACCATAAGCGTGGCCGATAAGAGCTGTCTTGATCGGCCCCACGGTGGGCGCCAAATGTTCTTACTGGGAATTTGTCGTAGAGATGATCCTCCAAGTAAGATTGGTGAGCCTCCTTCGCTGGTACGCTTGATGCTCCAAGATGGGGGTGGTACCTGTAAAAGAGACTCTGATGCTAAAGTTAGGGTTTGTATGAGTATATGTCTCGTATAAGTAATACATGTACCTTAGTGTAAATTAGGGTTGCGTTGGGCCTTGGGCCTGAGATCAGTTGTGATCTAATTAGATAGCGGATCTCGTCTAGACCGAGATCTCCTGGGATCAGTTATGATCTGGTTAAGTGACGAGCTGACGTCACATAGCGCGTATCCGAGGTTGCTACGCGCTGTGATGCCGAGCCGGGAGCTCAGTTTTGCAGTAGGATAGTACACATAGATTAAGTTTATAAAATTATTATATTATATTTCTTTAATATTAATTTTTTTATAATAATAATTATTATTTTATTAATATCAATTTGATTATAACTTAACCATAATTGAACTATTAAACTTTAAATTAAAATTGAATCATTAAACCTTAAATCAATATTTAAATCAATTTAATAAAGGATATTATCCTCAAATGTCCTTTATATTTTATTTGTTTTCCTAATAGAACCACTTTAAAATGAGTTGTTCCTCTTTAAACTAGGACCACAACTCAACATTGTTTCTCTAGCTATTGGAAAAAAAGTCAAGTCTCACATCAACTAGATATTAAACAATTAAATAATATATAAGTAAAAAGTAACCATTACATTACAAGTTAGTTTTATTTTTAAAAAGGTTTACCCACCAATTATGAGCCAATCATATTGTTCTTATCTGAATCTAGAGGTACGCCACTAAGTTAAACTAACTACTTTTAAATTTATAAATGTATTTATAATAATTTAGAATAACAAATGATTTGACTACAATTATGTTATTAAGAAAATAACATAATTTTTATTATTATTATTTATGATAATTATGAATATAAGCATTATATTCCTTAATTATTAATATACCTCATCTATATATCATGACATATCTCATGTTTTTCATATTAATTTAAATCAATAATTGATGCATTAATTAGTCATTAAAATTAAAGGCAAATTCTACTGTATATCATTGAATATGTGGTTTATTGAAGAGGCAATAAATTTCAATCATTGGATGAATTAAAAATATATTAAATTATACTTTTAGTCATTTATTTTATTTTTTGAATTTATTTTGATCCTTTATCTATTAAAATGTTCATTTTAGTCATTTATCTTTTTTATTTGAATCAATTTAGACATTTTAAAACAATGATCATTTTTAATTTTGCAACATGATTTTGAATATTTTTTGACTAATTTAAGATGTAAAACTTATGACATTAGATTCACCTATATGAAAACTATAAAATGCAATTAACGTTTTAATCCAAAAGGGATATAAAAATAGTGAAAATTGTGTGAAAATTATATCCCATTAACAACTAGAAAATAATATGAAATTAAATATTTTAAATTTTTATTTTTAACATATTTATAACACATTTGGTTTGAATTTTGATTATATTCAATAGTTTTTATATAAGTGAATCTTGTAAGACAAATTTCAATCCTTGAATCAATCAAAAATTGATTTAAAATGACTAAATTGGCCTATTCAACTGAGACCTGATGGGTGCAATGTTATCATTATTATGAACTATTGTACAAAAAACACTTATATCTTCGTGAATTATTTTTAAAATAATAAATAATAAAAATTATACAATAGTGAGTAATTATTAAAAAGACAGGTGGTTATTAAAAATATGGGTAATTATAGAGTAAAATTTATAAATACAAAAAAAAAAAAGACAAAAAATGTAATTCGTAAGGGTAAAATTACCTATAAATATGACACCAAATAAGGCTTTCCCCTTAATTAATAACTAACGAAAAAAAATGCATTCCATGTCTTGTTAATGTTTTGGGATGGAGAAGTTACAAATGTTTTGGGATAAGGAAGTTACAAGACGGTTATAATGAAAAATAATAATTTTTATTTAAATTAATAAAATAAAATTACTAAATTATCCTCTACTTAAGAAAAAGAATTGAGTAGCTATCATAATAAATAATTATGTATTTAGATGAAGAATTTTACAAATTCAAGAAATTTAAAATTCTTTATATTTGAATTACTTTGATTTCAATTTCTATCATTCTTAAAATATTTTGTTTGAATAAGTCAATTTTAAATTTTTAGTTTCGATATGATAATTTGATTTTACCATAGTAAAATTAATTTTAAAAATATTTTTAAATATTCAATAATTAAAAGAATGAATAGATAAAAAATAAAATAAAATATATAAGTGAAATAATAAAAATAAATATAAAAAAATCAAATTCTTTTTTTATTGAAAAAATTTAAAATTCTACTATTATAAAAAATACATATCAAGAAAGTTAAACAAATATGAAATAACTGTATACTTTTTAGCCTAGTGATTAAGTGGGGAAAGGTTAAAGTAGTTAGAAGTACGAAGACCTAAGTTCAATCCTCGTTACGACCATCTTTGTAATTTTTCATATCTTTAAAAAAAAAAAAATAACTATACACTTTGAACTCTTTTAAATTTGACTAGGAAAAATTGTTTTAAAAACATACAACTGTCATGATTTTTTTTTCAAACTGCTGTCTCTGTATGTTTTAATAATCACTCAATATCATATAATTTTTATTATTTATTATTTTTTTAAAATAATTCATAAAAACATGGAATATCTTTTATACGCTACTAGATATACATTAAATAGAAGAAAAGTCTGTCAATAAAGAATTTCTTACCAACTGTGTTAAAATATTTTAAAATTATTTACATTTTAAGAATTTTCTTTTAAATTTATATTATTAAAAAAGTTAATTTATTTTTGTTCAATTGTTTTTAATTAGAAATTAGAAATATTAAAAATTGAAGAAAAAAAAGTTACAACGCGCTGAAGCTGTTTTTAACTATCTCAATCCCTCCCCACCTAATTACTAGGCTAATCCTAGTGGTCAGAAGCTCGAGATTTATGCAGTGTAGTTTATTTTTTTTACTTGTTAATCTATTTGTTGTACAAATTTTAAAAAAAAACTAATAAACAAATTTAAAAAATTGTTTGGTCATTCGATTCTCGTTCTCCATAGATGGTTGATACTTGATTCGGTCATGTGAACACAGGAAACGTCGCAGACGTTTCCATCTTTGTTCTTACAATTTCTTATTTCAATGTTTGTCTTCATCTTTCTATTTCCCGGAAGAAAAAGTCTGCCGATAAAGTTTGACGGAGAAAAAAATACTGAAGAAACGGAAGAAAGTCATGAAAACATAAATAATATTGAATTACAATTATGAAACAAAATAAAATTATAAATAGTACGACAAAAGATTAAATAATATTTTTTTATCTGCTTACTTAATACTTTGTTTATACGAAGGTGTTAAATAATATATTTGTCTGAATTACAATGCACACACAAATATTATGATAAAAGAATTACAATAAAACTAAATTTAAAATTAAAATTTTATGCATCATTATCTTTTTATTACATGTGTATTTTACACACTACCTCTACAATTAACTAAAATATTTCTCTTCAATCGTCTTTAATTATACTCTTTTTTTTTATTTTTATATGTATATTTTTTTAATGATCAATTCCTCTTAATTTACTTTCTTTTATTTTTATCTCTTAATTAAATTCCAATCATTTTTAGTATTTACTAAAATACCTATTTTTTTTTTCTGAAACGGGATATTCTTTTCAGTTAGTATTTACATTATAATTCAAATTTTCATTATTTTGCAAGACCTCGAGTTCTGTATTCTGCACCAAAAAATTAAACAGTTAATTAAATAGACAAATTATAAAAATAAAAAATAAAAAATAAAAAATCCTTTTTTTCTTTCTTAATTTTGTCTTCATTTGTACCTCAACAGAGTCAACACGCCCTTGCCGCACTACACAATACTGCATATGCATAAGAGTCAAAGAGATTGCCGATCCATTTTGCATTTCCTTCCTGATTCCTGCTTCCCTTGTTTGCTTTGACTCCATACATTATCTGCAACTTCGCAAGCCACTGAAGTCACCTTGATTCTCAAAGCTTGAATTGAAGCAGTAAGATTATGTGAAGTATCTCAATTTTCCCTCAATCTCCTTATGTTAGCTATTTCTGCTCTTGGGGGAAGGAATCAGGATGAGTGACACCATCTTACTCTCAAATTTCAGCTGAATCTCAGGTAACCGAGCATAAAAATTGCAACTTGCATTTGGGTGTTCATAATTTATAGTCAATACAATTGATCTAACCACAGATCCGGTTGAGCATAATCTTGTCAAAGTTTGAAACTTTTCTGAGGTCTAGGACTGTTTGTGGTTGATTGGAGAGAGGAGGAGGAAAGACCAAAAAAAAAAAAAAAAAAAAAAAAAA